TATATATATTTATTTATTTTCTTTTTGGTCAAAAGTTGATGCCTTTTAAACTCCCTCCCTCCACCCCTCCCTGGAAAAAAAGTTACTCCCTTAACTAGGGCTTGTACTTAGTTGCCAACAATGGCTGGTAGAAGAACCTATGTGGCGTGGATACCAAATAAATGAGCTTATTTTGGGGGGTTTGTACTGTGCAGCTCTTGTAGATATATTTATTTATTTTCTTTTTGGTCAAAAGTTGATGCCTTTTAAACTCCCTCCCTCCACCCCTCCCTGGAAAAAAAGTTACTCCCTTAACTAGGGCTTGTACTTAGTTGCCAACAATGGCTGGTAGAAGAACCTATGTGGCGTGGATACCAAATAAATGAGCTTATTTTGGGGGGTTTGTACTGTGCAGCTCTTGTAGTTTCTAAGGAGTTAGGGCTATGTCTGATCAGGAGGCATCTGCAGGATTTTGATCTTCCAGGAATTCTGGGTGAGTCACAAATCATTTTTGTTCAGAACTAGACAGAGTCAAAAAAGAAACTTTGAGTAACTGATTTCTTTATCCAGATGAGTTAAGCATGAAAACATAGGCAGGACTTGTACTATTTTAGGGCTTTGAAAAACAATGGAATATGGAAATCAAATAAAAAAATTTTTATTTTGCCTTTTGTTTTAAACCCTAGATGCCTCCTGATTGACCTAGTACACTGGGTTAAAAGGGAATTAAAAACGTTTTTTAAAAAAAGTTCACTGGTTTTGATTCATCTCACTCCTTTTGCCTGGAGATCAGGCCAAACATCAAGCATGTTGGGAGGGGCACAATTTAATGCAACACTATTGACTGTAAAGCATTTGCCAGCAATTTACAATGCAAACATGACAATTCTCGTCACAAAGCTAAAGCATGGCAAGCAGCAGCTCTCAGGGTTGCCCGTTCCTGCAAGTTTACGTATCAAAGTGGGCAGAGGGCAACACACTTACACAGGACAGGGAGCCCCAGAACTGCTAGCCTCACCGAAGCTGGTACTGGCTAATATTGTGAAACGCAGTCACGCTTTATACATATGCTGCTCAACACTGCCACTCAAGGGAGTCTCCACACTGCAATGAAATTAATCTTTGTCCCCTTTTGCAGAGCTTAAAAAGTTTCTCAAACTTTAAAAAAGGGGAAAAAAGCACAATCAGAGACAGGTTTTTGAAGTTTCCTTGCTCCCTCTGGCAGGCCTCCCTCCTCTAAAGATACTAGAGACAGTGTGGCAGCAAACAGTGAAGACTTCTGGGGCCCTTTCCTAGCACAGGGTCCCCACAGTAAGAGGTTAAAGTACTTTCTAGAATTTAGTGTTGCGGAAAACTGAGCCCCTCTCATCTTAGCTGCTCCCATAATCACTCTAATCCCCTTAATCCCAGCAACCTTCATCAAAAACAAACAAAATATATATATATATATATGTATGTGTGTGTATATATATATATATATGAACGCAGAAAAAAACATATTTACAAAGTTTATACAAGTGTACACACCCAGTTTTCTATGGGACACGCTTTGCCAGAGGAAAGAGGGTCAAGGCTGACAGGCTGCACCTCAAGTGCCATAGCTGCGAATGGAGACGCACGTGAACCAGTCTTGAGTGTTCCGTACAGAGCACAAAGGCTTGTCGTATGGCTCCTGCAATGACAGAGACGCTCTTTCCTTTGGGAGCAATGATGTTGCATTGACTCAGCCCAGAAGAAATTTTTACTTGGGATTGTGTGGTTGTTTCTTAAATACATGTATTTACAGTGCGGATGAACTGCAGTTGCATATCAACTCCTCCACTTAAAGAAAAAAAATGGTGTAACATTACTAATAGGTTTCATCTTTCAGCCCTGGGCTTGAGTCCTGGGTAGAAAGGGAAGAGAGAGACTTCAACGTGAAACCAAAATGAAATAAAAAGTTTTAAAAAGAAATAAAAGGAAAGAATTACTATTGTTGATTCCTTGGGCTGTGTCTAAAAGATGATATTCTGAATGGTCTCATAGCATAAGGCACTTCGCACAAATAAGTAATAAGCTCTTCAGGCTTAAAAAACGGATGAGTCATCAGGGAGAAGTTGAAATGCACAAGAGTCAGCTGTTGGAGAATTCGGAAATAATAGACAAGCTTGTGTGTTCATCAAGATTCTTCTCTTTTTAGGGTTTCTCCCTTCTCTTCTTTCTCCTCCTTCCTTGTCCCCCCTTTTCCCCAGAAAACATTTTTAAAAATCCAGCAGTTAGTGCAACTAATGTTCAGTCAGCACACAGTGCAAACAAGTGGAACAAAAAAGGTAAATTCCTTCTTTTCAGCTTTTTTCTCTTCACCAGTTAAAAAAGAAAAAATGTCTGAGTTCTTTTAAATCTTCATAGTTCCAAAATAAAAGATGAAAAACCCACAAGAGAAGAGCATCCCCCCAAAATGATGTGTCACAGATCCAAGCAAGCCTTCTTTAGTTTGTCAAAGCCTAAAGAAAGAAGAAACCTAAAATTAACATTTGTGAAAGCAATATGAACTAGGGTATACAGATTTTTACATCCCCATCCCAAATACTCTCTGTAACAGCGTCTACTCAACTCTTGCCTACTGTAGAGTCCATGCAGGATTAAGGAATGTCTGCCAGGCATTCTAGAGGCAGAATGAGAGTCTGATAATTTTGGCCTCAGCCAGCAGTCATTCATAATACTTAAAGGAACTACCTTACACAAATGTAATAAATAGCTTGCCAATATACTAACAAACATTGGCTAGTTTTACGTTTAAGAATTGTTTGACATTTAAAATTTTAAAAAAATGAAAGTAATTTGAAAAATTTAAAAACAACAGGTAAAATGTTCACTGCTAATTTGGAACTCATCATCTCTCAAGTGAAATCATATTCTCCTCAGAAAAATTCCACAAGTCTACTTTCCTGTATGTTGAGCCTTGTTTTGGGCATTTCTACCAGAGCCCAATAGTCACCACAAGATTAAATGAGAGGGTGCAGAAAACCAGAGTGGGCATTTAAAATGAGATAATTGCCCGTGGGTGTGACTCAGTGGTTGAATGTCAAACTAGGAAGCAAGAGGTCATGGTTAAATTCCTTGTCAGGGCACATGCCCAGGTTGCGGGCTCGATCCCCAGTAGGGGTGCGTGCAGGAGGCAGCCAATCGATGATGTCTCTCTCTCGTTGAAGTTTCTATCTCTCTACCCCTCCTCTCCCTTCCTCTCTTTCCAAAATCAGTAAAACAGATTTTAAAATATATAAAATTTTAAAAAGACATAGTTATCCTCATTACACATTTGGCAATAAGGTATTGTAGGTAATGTAACCTTACTGAGGCACCCATTTGAAACGGAGTGAATTCCAACAGAGATGACTGAACGATAAAGGAAAAGAGAACAGAAAATATTTTCACACCCGAAATTGCTGAAAAATATTCTTTGCTTTCATTATTTTTGAAGTCTGAATCTGTCTTGATACTGCTCATGGTATCACACTACTTAAAAAGACTGCATTCAAGAACAACACTTATGGATTTTCTAACGAGACAGACCACAACTTCACCCGAGATAGCTGTTTTACTGTCATTTATGCCAAGTGTTTCACCACCCTACATTGCTGTTACGTATGCTAGGACATCAAATTGCCCCCATGAAAGAGGATCTTGATTTCTTTCCTTCCTTTAAATATTATGCTCACTTAGCTATTCTGTAGGTACACACATGCTTGTTATGGTTTATCATCTTCTACAGGCTCGCTGTGGTATTCTGCCACATATAGGCTCTTGTCAATGTTGCTTGGGATAGGTTTAATTTCTGTTCCCAGCTGCTCCTCAATACTTTTCAGGTTGAAGCGATCATCATATGTGATCAAGTTGATAGCTAAGCCAAGATGACCAAAGCGACCTAACAAAAAAAAATTATTTTAATTAAGAAATGAGTTAAATATTAGAATGCATGTGTAAGACTGTAAGCATCAAAATCATAAAGAGTTAATGTTTTTGTCAAGTGCCACTCTGGGTATAGGAAACTACTTTTCTACTCTCCTCATATTCACATTACTTCCCAAAGGTAGTACTCTATTTTACCTTTTTCAAAGGACAAACTAGATATTTGTATCAAAAGTTGCCAAAATACACATACTAAACAGTAGTTACAGATTGTACCAGAAAAGAAAAGTGAAGTTCTCCTTTGTTAATTTTACCTTAAATTATGCATATAGTAGTTAACTTTTTTAACTTTTCTTAATAAGTGTTCTAGAAGAACTAGAAATTAGTCTTAAACACTGAACAACTATATTAGTTTTAATTCTGTTCTCATTGCTACATCACTATTTCACACAAAACCCCACACAATTTAGTGACTAAACTTCTCAAAAAACAAAACAAAAAAACAACAAAAACGTCCACGAAGAGCATCTCCTGTCTTTCCTCACCTGATCTTCCAATGCGGTGGAGATAGGTCTCTGCCAGCTTTGGGAAGTCAAAGTTTATTACCACATTCACAGCTTGTATATCAATACCTCGGGTAAACAAATCTTAAAAAACAATAACAAAAAAACCTCCATTATAACTTTCAATATTTAAGCAATTTTAAGCATTTAAACATGTGTCTTGGTACTGTAATACTATTTAACAAATATTTCTAGTATATCTTAAATGCATTCATTTCACTTAGTAATTCAAATGCATTTTCAAATTACTAGCATTACCTTTCATGCACATTATCACAAATAACTTTCTGGTCACAAGTTATCTTTGCCCAGTTCTACAAGAAAATTTTAGAAAATGGTCTAAGGTAATTGCAAATACAGGAAGAGACCAAGATAATTGGTAAACTCATAAAACAAATCTCAGGAATAACCAGTAATTTTATTTTCTTTAGCCTGTATTTTGCTGAATTATTTATAATGTCTGAGGTAAGCTAATCCCAGTGACTATGCTAATTTAGGCTCTGAAAACTATAAAGAGAAACAACAACAGGCTAAAAACTAGGTTTGCCTTCTTCTACCGGCTCCGCACTCCAACATAATAATCCATGAGGGTCATAATAATATTTCAAAAATATTACTTTGAATCTGTAACTCCTTGCTTTAAATGACATTCAAGGTCCTCCTCTCTATGTTTTGGTCCTAACACATTGCGTACCGCATAGAAATCTCTAAGACATACGCCAGGGACCGCACGTTTTTGGGCAAACTGCACATTATTTAAATCATCATAATGCACTTTAGGTGTTGTTTTTCAATAATTATAACATTTTCATTTACAAAAACAATTTAACAATTAAAGTTCCTAGTACTTTTTTAACATATGGTACTGTGTAAAACATTTTCCTCTATGAAGAGGGACCAAACAAAATTTACATATGTATCTAGATTCGCTCCTTTTTCCATGGGCGTGATAAACGAGAACACTCGTGAGCGGTCCTTAACAGATGGCACGCGAAACTCGAGAAAACTCCTGAGCGGTAGGAAATGTGCTAACATACTTTTCTAACACATCTCAAAACTTCATCTATTCTCACATAACCTCAGCTAGTTACTTCCCTCTCCTATGAAAATTTAGGATTACTTGCTACAGTTGACCCTTGAACATGAGGGTCAGGGGCACCTACCCCCGCAGTCGAAAATGTGTAACGACTCCCCCCAGATTTAACTATTAACATAAGCCATCTATACAGGAAGCCTTACCAATAACATAGTTGACTAACACATATTTTATGCTATACTAGAGCCCTGGCTGCCATGGCCCTCATGGCCCAGGCTGCCTCGTGGCACGCCCCCCCCCCGGCCCTCCCCCACACCCTGCCCACTGGTTGTTCCAGAAGGTTGGTCCGCCATCTGGTCTAATTAGCATATTAGCTCTTTATTATATAGAATCTTTTATATATCGTGTTCTTACAATAAAGAATTTTTCTTATTATCTTAAGAACACTTTCTTTAGCTTTAAAGAAAATTTCAATAACACATTTACTGTATTTACTGAAAAATAACCCATGTATAAGTGGATCCATGCAGTTCAAATCCGTGCTGTTTGACCACTTTCTAAAATTCACATTTGCAAATTACCTTTAGTTCCTTACAGATCTAGTCCAAGGCCTATCTTTGTAAATAAAGGTGTTTTTTGTTTTGTTAATCCTCACCCAAGGATATTTTTCCATTGACTTTTTTAGATAGAGTAGAAGAGAGGGGTAGACGGCCAGAGAGAGAAGGGTGGGGGGGGTGGGGGGTGGGGTAAAGAAACATTGATGTGTATGAGAAAGAGAGAAAGAGAAAGAAAAGAAGGACAAACATTGATGTGAGAGAGATATATTGATTGGTTGCCTGCTGATGGGCTGGGGGTTGAACCTACAACCCAGGCACATACCCCTGATTGGGAATCAAACCTGTGACCCTTTGGTGCACAAGCCAAGCCTCTAACCACTGAACCCACTGGCTAGGGCTGTAAGTTGTACTGCCATGTGGCCATGCCCATTTGTTTATATACTAAGGGTGCTTCTGAGTTAGAATGGCAGAGCTGACTATCTTGTAACAAGACAACAAGGTATGCAAAGTCTAAAATATTTACTAGCCACCACTTTACAGATAAAGTGTGCAGGCCCTGCTTTACACTTTTGTTGTTGTTAATCCTTACTCAAGGATATTTTTCCCATTAATTTTTTTTAAAAAAATTTTTATTGATTTCAGAGAGAAAGGGAGAGGGATAGAAGCATCAGTGATGAGAGAGAATCATTGATTAGCTGCCTCCTGCACGGCTCCTACTGGGGTTGAGCCCGCAACATGGGCAATGTGCCCTTGACCGGAATCGAACCCGGGACCCTCTAGTCCATAGGCCAAAGCTCTCTCCACTGAGCCAAACCAGCTAGGGCTCCATTAATTTTCCTTAGAGAGAGTGAAAGGGAGGAGGAAAGACACAGAGATAGAAACATCAATGTGAGAGACACATTGATTGGCTGCCTCCTGCACACACCCCAACAGGAACTGAATCTGCGACCCTTCGGTCCTCAGGCTGGAGCTCTAACCACTGAGCAACTGGCTAGGGCTAGACCCTTAATGTTATTCACCTTTTAATCACTCATTAAACCATTGCTCCTTGAAGAAAGGGGTGGTACTTTGCAGGTACTTGTATGTTTATACATGTTATTCAGTATTAATGACATCACTGTTCTGAAAAATCAGAAAGGCGGCACTGGTACTTCAAAAACCTGAGGGCAACTTGGCAAGTAATGATTAAATATAAAACCCATTGCCCTGGCTGACTTTGGTCAGTGGTTAGAGCATCATCAAAGGATCTCGGGTTTGATTCCCAGTCAAGGGCACGTGTGGGAGGCAGTCAATCAATGTGCCCCCTTCTCTTCCCCTCCTTTCCTCCCTCAATAGAAATCAATGAAAAAAATATTCTCGGTATTTTTTAAAAAAAGCATTAATCACAATAATTTATATCAGTGTATAAGTACAAAGAACATTGGGGGGGGGGGGTTTCTCCCCCTGACTGGGTAGCTCAGTTGGCTAGAGTGATGTCCCAGTACACATGCAAGAAGCAACCATGAATGCATAAGTGGAGCAACAAATCAATGCCCCCCTAAAATCACTAAGTAAAATTAAGAAAAAAATATTCTCGTTCAAACGGGGAAATGCTTAATAGCAAATGACAAATGTGAACGTAAATGTATAATTCACAGCTATATTAAACTGTTCTTCAGATGTAAGGCAGAGAAACAAGATAAACTGGAAGGTATGCAAGATATTTGATAGTCCTTTTTATTCATGTAAATTAAATACTCTGCTAAAAAATTTCAAAGTTTATTTCTACAGTAGCATTTTTAAAAACACAAATCTTGAAATATTCTAAATCTTGATTTGAATGCACATGTAAATACTCAAATAATATACATATTATTTGTCTATGTGTTTACCTCAATAAAAATTCTAGGCTTTCTCTCTATCCAGAAGACTATTAATCTTATACCAACATTAAGATTATATTCCTAACGTAAAGATGGGAGGAGCTTTAGCCAGTTTGGCTCAGTGGATAAAGTGTCAGCCTGCGAACAGAAGGTCCTGGGTTTGATTCCTGTCAAGGGCACATGCCTGGGTTGCAGGCTCCATCCCCAGTGGAGGGCGTTCAGGAGGCAGCTGATCCATGATTCTCTCTTATCATTGATGTTTCTATCTCTCCCTCCCTCTTTGAAATCAATAAAAATATATTTAAAAAATGAATGAACAAAAAAAACGGGAGGATACTGAATCCATCTGCTTTGTCTAGTTGATTGCCTGCCTGCCTCCCCAGTGTTTTTCTTCATGCAGTGAAAATATAACAAAATTCAGAATAGTCTGCTTCTGGCAAAAAATCAAGAGGCCACAATAAGCAATTTCTAAAACACAGATGGTTTCACAATATAATTCATTTTGTGTATGCTAAAACTATCCAGAAAACACACAAATTCTAAAATTAGTTTAGAAGGCAGGTAAGACATGAGTGCCAAAATCAGTCTCCCACAGCTTCAGACATGGAACCTGATTTCAGGAGTTAACCACAGCCCATTCTCTACTTCAGAAGTTCTACAAGTGGTACTAGGGTGAGCTAGGCTATGTCACAGGCTCCTGTTGCATAACATAGAACAAAACAGCAGAACAGAAATAGGAAAAAAGCAATAGATAAAGAGAATAAAAAGTACTTACCAGTGCAAACAAGATTGCGGCATAAGCCATTTCGGAAATCATGAAAGACACGATTTCGATGTTCCTAGGAACAGAGCAATACATTTGATTTGACCAAAACTCATGCACACAGCCCCAAATCCCCACTATTTCTCCTGCACAAAATTTGTTTACACAAATGAGGTGAACCAATTCAATATACATATATTTATAATGTTAAAAAACACCATAAATTGGTTTCCCATAGGAATTAATAAGCAACTAATACATCTCTATATGTTGTATTTATTTTAAGTCAAAGGTATTTATATTTTTTGCTGAAGTGGATTTCAAGTAACAATTTTCACCATGTTTTTGTATATATATATACCCTTTAAAAATGTTTCCAACAGACAATGCCAAGTTTGGCTTGACCAAACATCTGTTTTACCCTTTTAGTAATTATATACAAAAGCTAAAATAACTACTTTCCAATTAAAAAACAAAAATGGAATATACACCATGATTCTAGGAAGTGATAAATCTAGCATCTGGCAAACTGGCTTATTTTTTGAGCACAAAATTCTCCCATTTTAAAATATTCTCATCAGTTTAATATATTCATTTCTTGTGATAATTTCTAACTGCGAGGTGCCTACATGGTGGTGGTATCTGATCCATGACATTAAGCTTCTTTGAAAACCAAATGTGAGTTAAGTAATTTAAGTTCTTAACCTTGACAAGTCTACAGAAACTGCTTTTCATGAAATTTTATTAGGCACACACACAAAAAAATGTCATTATAGCTTTTAATTTATTATGTGCTAAATAAAAAGTTCAGAAATGTAGACATTCCATCCTTTTCTTAAGCAAATAGTAAAAAAAAAAAGTACTTGGGTTGAGGAGGTTCATAGATACATTAAACATGTAAAATCCTCAGCAATAATGGAAATGTGTCTGTACTGTCCAAAACCATAGGTGATTGTGACACGTAATGAGGCACTTGAATGTGGTTAGTGTGACTGAAACATTTAAATCTGATTTGATTTTAACTCATTTAAATTGCCACATGTGGCTAGAGCAGGGGTGGGCAAACTTTTTGACTCGAGGGCCACAATGGGTTCTTAAACTGGACCGGAGGGCCGGAACAAAAGCATGAATGGAGTGTTTGTGTGAACTAATATAAATTCAAAGTAAACATCATTACATAAAAGGGTACGGTCTTTTTTTTTTTTTAGTTTTTTTCATTTTAAGCGGGCCGTAGTTTGCCCACGGCTGGGCTGGAGGCTATTGTATTAAATAGTGCAAAACTAGAAATAACCTGGGAAAGAAAGGAATAAAGTCTGACATCTGTATCACGTTTGACTGTTGACAGATATTTGTACATTATCTCAATCCTCCTTATGAGATTAGAGTATGTATTATTACCCCTATTTCATAGTAGAAAACTGGGCCTTCAGGAGGATAAAATGAAAAGAGTCCTTCATCTACTAAGGAATCATTTCTTCTTAAACTCAGGACATTTGGAGGAGCATTAAAACAAAATCCAAGGAATACTTAGAAAAAGATGTTTTAAAAATTTGTGCAACTTCTAGTTTGACACTCACCTGCCTCATTTTAGCATGGATATAGAAGCAAGAATAACCCAGTTGAGAAATCTTCTTGGCTAGCAATTCAACTCGCTGAGAGGAGTTACAGAAAATGATCGACTGGTTTATCTGAAGCTGAGCACAGGGGATGAGGGGAGAGACATGAGTGGGAAAACACCTTTACTTACTTTGTACACCTTGAAAATATTGACTGGCAAACAAATGTTAAAACCATGGTCTATGACAGAGAGTCTTATGACACAAAAGGTGCAAAACTTTAAAAATTGTAAATACTATTCATTTACTTAATATTTGCAGATACTTTATAAGTTTTATTGTAGTACCGTATATTTCATAAGGGCACACAATTGCCAGCAAGAATAAAACAAAACAGCTGCTACAAATACTGAATTAGTGGATGAAGAACCATTGCTCCTAGGATAAATACAGGGTAGTTCCTGTGAACATCTGGTCAGTTTTCCTGTGTGTTTTTTAAAACTGGTATTAGAGAGAGGAAGGGGGAGAGAGAAACATCAACTGGCTTCCTCCCGCACATGCCCCGACAAGAGATTGAACCTGAAACCTGGGTACGTGCCCTGACCTGGAATCGAACCTGCCACCTTCTGGTGTACAGCACAACACTCCACTGAGCCACACTGGCCAGGGTTGGCCATGAGTTTTTCATCAATGAATCAATAGACAGCCTTGTTTTTGTGTTACTGTTTAAAGCAGGGGTCCTCAAACTACAGCCCGCGGGCTACATGCAAATACAAATATTGTATTTGTTCCCGTTTTGTTTTTTTACTTCAAAATAAGATATGTGCAGTGTGCATAGGAATTTGTTCATAGTTTTTTTTTAAACTATAGTCCGGCCCTCCAACAGTCTGAGGGACAGTGAACGCGTGATCCACTGAGCCAAACCGGTTAGGGCTCATAGTTTTTTTTTTAAACTATAGTCTGGCCCTCCAATGGTCTGAGGGACAGTGAACTGGCCCCATTTAAAAGTTTGAGGACCCCTGGTTTAAAGACACTTTATTTATTCATGGTCAACAGCACCATAACTAATGCCTGTGCAAGCAAAGTTTATCTAATACACATTTCCTCTGCAAGGCACTTCAGTCTTCTTGTACTTTGGTGCACCAGATAGCACTTTAACACTATGCTTTTAAACAATGAAATCAACAGAAAAGTCGCAAAAATGCCAAAAAGATGTGGCATTAAATAGGCCATGAATATGACCTTAGTTGGGAATATGCACAATGATTCAAAATTTTCCTTGCGTTATGCATGTCCATAAATGACCTCAAATGCATGCAAGTACTGATTGTGGTTATAAATTTTGGTAAGTAAAAATTTGCGAATACAGTATCTGCAAACAAGGACTGACTATAATTACTACAAACATGAGAATCAACTTTAAGGTCAAACTATTTTAGAATTAAATTAAAAGTACCTAAGACTTATCAATTATACCCTATCAACTTCAGACCAGCTGAAACTATTTTTCAGGAAAAGCTAAGAACTTTTTTTTAAAAAAACATTTAAAGTGGTGGAGAAACTGATACAATTGTGTTTTATTGGAATTAAGTAATGGATAATGTTCAGGAAGCCTATTCCTTACCCTGGAGAAAAGTGTGTTGAGGCAGTGTACTTTTTGGCGCTCAGTTACATATGCGTAGTACTGGGTTACTCCCTTCAAAGTTAATTCCTCCATCAGGTTAATCTCATAGGGTTTCTGCAAATGGGAATTCTGAAAACAAACAAACAAACAATAAATAAATAAAACAGAAGAAGTCTTATTCTTAAGTGAAAGCAGAGTGTATCTCTTAAGCTCAAAATATATCCTATACATCTGTCTGAAAAAACTTTTGCTTTAAGGATGTAGCTCTCTTGAAAACAAAAATATACAATCTTTCATGGAAGAAATAAATTACAATTAAAATGTGAGATTTAACAGTCAGATATGTAACTAAGTTACTATTTTGTACTTTGTGTACAGGATTATGCTGTAATAAATTTATATAGCATCAATGGCTGTGTCAGCAGCTTGACACCAAAAAGTGAACAATGAAGGATTTAATCAAATTACTATTTAAAAATTCAGTTAATTTATGCACAACAAACCTTAATCAGCTGAAAAAAAGCCAAAAACTTAAAAATAATCAGCCTAAACTGTAACCTGATAATAAGATATAATTATGAATAAAGATATGCGCCTGAGAAACAGGATGGCATTGCTTCCAAGCACATCTGTCTCACACTCACCATGAACTTCTGTACACTAAGAGGGAAAGTAGCGGAATACAATAAAATCTGTCTGTTTTTAGGTAGCGTGAGAATAATATCCTCCATTATTTGCACAAAATCCTGTGACAGCAACTTATCTGCCTGCAGTACAAGAGAAGACAATTTTAAAAACAATTAAATAATGTCAAGGTCTTTGGTACCTACGGCATCATCCACCAAGAGCATTCATGGAATGTTCCTGGTGGTAAACATGAAGTTCTCTACACCACAACATAACCCGACAGCACCAAGACATGCCCAGTGACTCAGAAGGGGGAAAAGTCTATAATACCCATCTACAGGGGGAAATGGTGGCAGGATTCCTAGCAGATTCCATAACAGAATTTTAATATGATTTCCTTTAAAGAGGCAGTATGGTATACTGGTTAAAAGTACAAGCTGCAGAGTCAAATTACTTGGATTGAAATCTTGTTTTCTTCAATTTACTACATGGGGAGGTTGCTTAACCAATCAATTCTTCACATTCTACAATTTTTAAATTAGGACAAGCACTCACTACAGTAACTTCACAGAATACCTATCTTACAAGGTTGTTGCAAAAATTAAATTAAAAACAAAAAAACAGGTAAAGCACCTAGTGTTAATACAGAGTGAAAAACACTCCCTCTCATTCCTCAAAAAAAAAAAAAAAAAAAGCTGATCTGAATTAGACCACAATCGACCTGATCTATCTATCTAGCTAAAACGCAGACCAAATAGGAAAGTAATTTTATTTCAAAATATTAAGTGATGTACTGTATGTATAAAACACTACTGGAACACAAGGACACAGAGCTGAGTAAGTTCTTAAAGGCACTTACTACCTAGTGAGATAACACATGTAACAGAGACTAAAAAACCAAACACCAAATATTATACGCTAAATGGGGGGTTAAAGACATTACATGCCTTTTAAGATGTATCACTAAATGGAAAGAGACTTAGCATGAACTTGGTTTGAGGTAACTCAACAACTTCTCATCTTGAAAAATAAAAATAAAATCCAAACTATCTGGCATCCCTAAGAAAGGCACAAGGCTGAACTATTCCTATAAATAACTATCATCTATTGCCCTTAAAGGGCCAAACATGTTTTATAAGCATATTAGTTTGAACTGACAAAAGTCGTGTGTTTATTAGAAGATCATAAGGAAAACACAAAGAACCTTTGCTTCATTCACTGACAATTCTAAATAAAGCTCAGAATAATACAGAATAGCATCTTTGCAAATGAAGAGACATTACCTCATCCAATACTATCATCTGGACATGATCAACTTTTGCTACTCCTTTCTTGATAAGATCCAGGATTCTCCCAGGGGTAGCTATTACCACGTGCACTACACAAGATTAGAAAACATATTCTCATTAATTTTAGCTTGGGCAAAAGGATGTAGTAAAGGCTTGCATACATATATAAACCTTTAAAAATATGTATCTACTAGAGGCCTGATGCATGAAATTTGTGCATGGGTAGGGTCCCTAGGCCTGGCTGGCAATCAGGGCTGATCTGTGGGGCGACCAGCAGAGCAATGGGGAGTGCGGGGGTGGGGTGGGGGGTGGGGGGTGCCCCCTTGGCACCAGCCTTGGCTGGCCTGGGGCCTGCAGGCTGGGGGCAGCTCCTGCATTGAGCGTCTGCCCCCTGGTGGTCAGTGTGCGTAATAGCGACCAGTCGTTCTGCGTTTGGTCAATTTGCATTGTTGGAGAGTTAGGAATTCAGTAGTCCCTCCTTACCCAGTTTCACTTTCCATAGTCAAATGCAGTCTGGAAATATTAAATGGAAATTCCCAAAATAAACAATTCATAGGCTGTAAATTCCAAGCCATTCTGAAAAATGTGATGAAAACTTGTACCTTTCCACTCAGACCTGCCCAGGATATAAAGCATCCTTTTGTCTAGTACAGCGGTTCTCAAACGGTGGGTCGCGACCCCTTTGGCGGTCGAACGACCCTTTCACAGGGGTTGCCTAAGACCATCCTGCATATCAGATATTTACATTACAATTCATAACAGTAGCAACATTACAGTTATGAAATAGCAACAAAAATAATTTTATGGTTGGGTCACAACATGAGGAACTGTATTTAAAGGGCCAGAAGGTTGAGAACCTCTGGTCTAATATATCTGCTAACCAGCTATTAAGTTACTTAGGAGCCATCTAGGTTGTCAGATAGTTGTACCTCAGTGCTTGTGTTCAAGTAACATTTATTTTACTTAATTAAATGGCCTCAAGTGCAGAGCGGTGATGCTAGCAATTTGGGGGTGCCAAAGAGAAGTCAGAACATGCTTCCTTTAAGTGAAAATGTGGAAGTTCTCTACATAAGAAAAAAACTGTATGCTGAGTTTAAGGTGTATGGTGAGAATCAATCTTCTACCCATGAAATTGTGAAGAAAAAGAAATTTGTGCTAGCTAGTTTTGCTGTCATACCTCAAACTGGGAAACTTAGGACCACTATACATATAAGTGCTTAGTTAAGATGGAAAAGGCATTAAGTTTATGAGTAGTAGATGTGAACAGGGAAGGGCCAAATTCACATAACTTTTATTACAGTATATTGCTGTAATTGTTCCATTTTATTATGTTACTGTTTTTAGTATCTCACCTCATTTATAATGTGTACGTATGTATATGTGTGTGTGTGTAGGGTTTGGTACTCTACTAAGTTTCAGGCATCCATTGGGGGAGGGGAGGTCTTACAACATATCCCTTGCAGGTAAGGGGGGACTACTGTAGTACAAAGAAACAAAGATTTCTATTTTAGGACATGGATTTCTATTTCATCTTAGGGTGACTAAGATATACTTATTTGTTTCACCTCTACATGGGATAGGCTAAAGCAGTGGTTGGCAAACCACGGCTCGCGAGCCACACGCAGCTCTTTGGCCCCTTGAGTGTGGCTCTTCTACAAAATACCACGTGCGGGCGCGCACGTACAGTGCGAATGAAACTTCACGGCCCATGCGCAGAAGTCAGTTTTCGGCCTGGGCAAGTCTATTTTGAAGAAGTAGTTGTAACTATAGGTTTAACTAAGACTTAAAACTTTAAGTAAAGTTTATTAAGTTAATTTTAGGGAAGGTTGTGGAGTGAAAGAAGATGTAGTGTTTAGGACTGAGAAAGGTATGTTGAGATGGTTTGGACATATAGAGAGGATGAACTAAAGGAGATAGACGGAACAAGTATACAAGACGAGTGTGGATGGGAGAGTTGGAAGGGGTCGACCTCAGTGAACGTACCTCAATCAGATTGAGGACGTTTTTAGCAAAGGCCAGCTTAGGAGTCCCCTAATGAAGTTAATAACAATGTACCTACCTATATAGTTTAAGTTTAAAAAATTTGGCTCAAAAGAAATTTCAATCGAGTTTGCCGACCACTGGGCTAGAGGTTCCCAAATCACTTGCTCCAAATAAAGGGCATATTTCCTTCCTAGGAAATCCCTAATGAGTAATAAAAGGCACAGCAGGCTTCTAATACAGTGGACTGCCTTTCAACAAGAACAATGGTCTTGAGGAAACTGTTATAAGGATCAAATGCTATAATCATGTAAAATAACTGTGTAGTGTGAAGACTATAGTAATTGATCTAATGAAAACCATATTAAAATCTAATATTCTATGTATCATTTTATTTATAAGATTTCATTCTTGTTTTATCTTTTTTTCACACAATAATGTATCATGGAGAACCCTTCATAAAAATTAATACCGATCAGCTTCATTCTTTAATGGCTGTGTGGATTCCATTCAGACTATCCTCTAATGTTTAGGCTGTTCCAATTTTTCAGTACTACAAAACCACAATGTAGTAACAGCCTTGCATTTGCGCAATTCTTTCTTTCTTTTTTAAAAAAATATATTATATTGATTTTTTACAGAGAAGAAGGGAGAGAGATAGAGAGTCAGAAACATTGATGAGAGAAACATCGATCAGCCGCCTCCTGCACATCTCCTACTGGGGATGTGCCCGCAACCCAGGTACATGCCCTTGACCAGAATCAAACCTGGGACCCTTCAGTCCGCAGGCCGACGCTCTATCCACTGAGCCATTTTTTAAAAAAAAAAAAAAAAAGATTCTTGAAAATATACATAATTTTGAAATATACCAACTTGCCCACCATAGAGATTGCATTAATTTATACTCCTATATTGTAAGGCAGCCTATTTTGCCACAAACTCATGTTATTGGTTACTAATGTGTTTTTGGTCTTGCCAATCAGAAAGGCACAATATCAATTTGCTGTTTTTATTTACATTTTTCATTTTAATTACTGTCAATCTGTCTTTTTTCTTGGATGAGGCTGTCATTTCCTTTATTCATTTTTCTACCGCAATGTTTTCATTCCTTATTAATTCTTGTTTAAATTGATTTTTAAGAGACAAAAGGGGGGAGGGAGAGAGAGGCGTGTGCGTACACATCAATCGATTTCCGGCATTCAGGGATCAAACCCACAACCTAGGTATGTGCCCTAACTGGGAATCAAACCCGCAATCCTTTGGTGCACGATACAACACTCCAACCAACTGAACCAACTGAACCACCTGGCCAGGGCCCTTATTAATTCTTAAAAACAATTTTTCATAAGTTATTGAAAGGAAATGCCTGTGTATGAAATTACACTTAAGAGAGAGAGCTAGGCGACTTTGTATGAGTTATTTCCTACCTGTATCATCAAGCCTCATTATGTCATCACGTAAATTGGTTCCTCCTGTGGTTGCCATCACTTTGGCCCCTCCCATGTGTTTGCTGACCTGGATGCAAATTTGACTGACCTGTAGAGCAAGTTCTCTTGTAGGAACAATCACCATTGCTGAAAAAGAACAAGCAACAGAGAAAATAGGAAAAAATAACGTATATTTTAAGAGTTTAAGAAGCTACAGAAATACTTCTCCTTGCAATCTAGATACTCAGACATATTAAAAAATTAAATCATAATAGGCCTAACCAATTCTAAAAAGTCAAATGAACAAATCTTTAAAAACACTGAAACAAAAAACCCCTTAGTGATCCAGATATAGACGTTTCCTAAACAATGTTGCTATTAAGTCTTGTTCTATTCTCGATTACAAACTTTTAAAGCGTTCTTCTTTATAAATTGGCACCTGCTTAAAGTTTACTAATTTAATATTTCAATAAGAGACTCACTAGTCTTACCACCCAAATAGGAAACTCTTGCCCCAGGTTCATTTATATCACATGAAAGTAGGTAAATGAAAGATGGGAGAAACTATAATTATAGGTCACAACAGCTGAAAATTAAAACAAAACTGCTTTAAAAGTGAAAACTTAACTCTCTTAGCTTACTCTGTGTACAAGCATGGAAGTGTTTCTTCCCTACTGCCTCAGGTTTTAAAATCCCAAAAATGCATGGCTTTAAAGAGAAGGGATTCATGTTTCTTTAGGAAACTTGCAGACACACAGCTGCCACAGAAACAATTCAGTTCCATAGGTTTTTTTCTATTTTGTTTATTTTTGTTCATTAGATTCCACATAGAGGTAAAATCACAGTTTCATAGTTTTTAAGTAATAACATCCAACAATTTAACTTCTCATGATCTTAGTGTTCCTATCTAGAAGGCAATAGCTTACTTTGCCTATATCACCGGAATATTGTCAAAACTGCATAATATAAAAAAATATTTTGAAAACTATTTAAAGAGTTGTGGGGGGAAAAAAAGGATAAATACTAATTCCAGATTATGTAAATTCTAACTTAAAAAAATTATCTTCTACACAGCTCCAAGATTTAAACTGTCATTTTTAGTTTAAACAAACAACTAACCTTGTATATTGTCCTTCTTCAGGTCTAGCCGTTCAAGTAAGGGAATGAGGTAGGCACCACTCTTGCCCGTTCCATTTTTTGCTCTAGCTAAGATATCCCTACCAGATAAAGCGATGGGAATGCTCTCCTCCTAAAAGAGACAAGACAATACAAATTACTTGTGAATAAAAACAGCACAGCCCGGCCGGCGTGGCTCAGTGTCTGAGTGTCAACCTATGAACCAGGAGGTCACGGTTCCATTCCCAGTCAGGCACATGCCCGGGTTGCAGGCTTGATTCTCAGCGGGGGGTGTGCAGAAGGCAGCCAGTCAATGAAATGATTCTCTCATCATTGATGTTTCTCTCTCTCTCTCCCTCTCCCTTCCTCTCTGAAATCAATAAAAATATGTATTTAAAAACAAACCCAAAACAGTACATAAGCAAATTCTTCTCTAAAATACATTGAAGGTATATCTCTTTGGTATTGCTTTAAAGTGTCCTTTATGTTTGCATTTTACAAGGATAAGTAGAAACGACGTAAATGCGCAAGACCAGTCAGCATCACCATCATTATCAACCAATATTTATTTACTAAAACTGCTCATAGTATATTAAATTGCATTCCAATGTAATAAAAACTGTACATGTAAAAGTGTGTATGGTCAAGGAAGCTGAGCATCAACAACAAAGAGAACAAAGAAAGGAGGAACTTGAGCTGACACACAGAGAGAGAGAAAAAGCAGAAGACAGTTCACAATTAAAAAACTGGAGAAAAAAATGACCAAAAAATACAAAGCAAACACTATATATGGTATTTTAAGACTAATAAGCCAATTTTACAATGAAAACTTGTATCTTGGACAACTTACCCTTACAAAAAGCAGGAATAGGCTGGAAAAGTCTAACCTCAGGTCCTATTTCATATTTAATAATTATTGACCCATAAACCTCCAATATCTGTCTTACAGCCACTCCTCTGTCCTGAAATGTGCTCAAATGGAGAGTCCATTCCAATCTAGTTACCTCAATCCATGGTCACTTGACTGAGAGGGACTCTCATTTTCATATTTAAATTACTGTCATGTGTGTTTTGCAGAAGACAACATTTCCTATTAAATCAGGACAAATTTCCCAGACAATAGCAAAGGAGTCTCAACATTACTAAAAATTAAATGCACATATATCTACAGGGAAACTAAAAAGGCAGAACAAGTATAAACAGGGAGGAAGCTGAACATTCCTATTTCTCAAATTAAAGAAATTAGTTTTAATTTTTAAAACTGAAAAGTTAGGTCCAGCCAGTGTGGCTCAGTGGTTGAGTGTCGATCCATGGACCAGGAGGACATGGTTCGATTCCCTGAGGGGGCACATGCCTGGGTTTCGGCAGCTCAGTCCCAAGTGTGGGGCATTCGGGAGACAGCCAATCAATGATTCTCCCTCATCATTGATGTTTCTCTCTCTCTCCCCCCCTTCTCTCTTCCTCTCTGAAATAAATAAAAAATATACTTAAAAAAAATAAAAACCCAACTAAAATGTTAGGAAAATAAATTAGGAGAATCATAATCATTGTAATAATTAGTTCTTTCTATGCCTAAGCTTATGACCAAAAGAAATCTCTCCAGCACTTTAAAAAAATGTTTAAATATATTTTTATTATAGAAATATCTAAGTCATAAGCATAATGACTTCTATTTCCCACCATGACACTTATTCTACCCAGAACCCAATCACAGGGGTCAGATGGGTTCCGTATGTCAGAATAACTAGCAGACACCAGAACTGTGAAAATGGTCTGGTGACAATACTGTTAAATTGTTCCTATAACTAGCAGTAAATAGTCTGCTTATTGTGGTAAAGCAGGTCAAGGGAGAAAATGACTGGAGATCAAACCTGCAATCTTGGTGTATCAGGACAACGCTTTAACCCACTGAGCAACTAGGCCAGGGCCTCTTCTATGGTTTTTAAACAGGCCACCTGCACACCATAGCCCTCCCCGATCCCCAAAAAAGGGAGGGGGAATGGATGGGGCTAAATGGTCTCCAAGGGTTTTCCAATGATTTTCTGAGCCAGGTCCTTTAAAACTATAAACATTTTTAATGAAGTCAAGCAGGGTAGAATTAATTGGGGGTATCCTAATTCACATTTTGGGTATGTCATTTGATTTAGATTGAGGCCACTAAGTTCTAAATTACTCTATTTTCTTTGACAGGGCTCATGCTCTACAGAAACTGTTTAAGAATAAGACTTTATACAAAGTCAGCAAGCTAGTCTGTAGTTAGGATGCACTGGTATTTTGCCTGTATGATGCCCATGATGATTAGTCTGGTAATTCAGCACATCCACACTGTCTCTTACCACTGTTTCCTAGGAAGACCAGGTAATATGAAGCAAGAAAACTCAGATTCAGGCAGCTCTGAAACCAAGAGGAAATAATGTGAAGCTGCCAGAAGAGAAGGAGAAAAGGAAGCTAAAAATTCTTGAAACACTGTGTGCTAGGCACTCTGCTAGGTAGATACCTTACAATATTTATGTCCTTTTAAGTTTGGTACTTTTTGTTTTACAATTTATAAAATGGATCCTCAGAGATTGTTTTGCCCAAGGTCATGAAGCAAGAAATGCTAGAACCAGGACTTGAACTTAAGTCTACAAATAACATGTAAGTGAGGATGTGGAGAATTCAAAACCCTCACACACTGCTAGTGGGAATGTATAGCCACTTTGGAAGTCTGACAACTTCTCAACAGGTTATACAGCATTAGCATATGAACCAATTCCACTCCCAGAAATATAACCCCCAAAGTGAAAACATCTCCACACAAAACTTGTACCTTCATGTTCATAGCAGCACCTATATAATAAAAGCCCAGCAACTACTACGGCAGAAGACTGAAACGACCGGTCGCTATGATGCACCAGCTGCAAGGGCCACCACCAGTGCTGCTGCCAAGCCCGAGGGCCCCGGGGTTGCACAGCCGCCGCCAAGGCACCGGTAAAGAACGCGAAGGTGGCCAGTGTGAGCGTGCAGCTTAAGATGAAGGCTCTGTGGGACAAATTCAATCAGCCAGGCACCGAGATGATCGTCACCAAGGCTGGCAGGTCAGGGCACCCCTCTCCCCGCTGCAACCCTCCCCATGTGGTGCCAGTCTTGGGTAGTAGTGGGCTTTGGCCCGATCCACACAAGCAAGACAGAGAAGTGGGGTGGGGGTGCAGCCGGGCAACCTGTGAGTCCAGCTCCTTCGCTCTCCGAGTCCCGGCTCTAGCGAAAGCCGCCTGGCGCGCCGGGCCGGAAGGTATTGCTCAGGCCAGGAAGGTGGGCGAGAGAAGCCTGTGGACCTGCCGCCCGACCAGCAGCCCAGGACCGGGCACTGCCAGAAAAAGACTGGCTCAGAGCACACCGAGCTTGGGGGGAAGGCAGCTGCCTGTAAGGGACCTTGCCACCAGCTGGCTCCCGATGGATCCCACCTCAAAGGAAGCTTGGTCTTTGGTTCCTTAGTTCAGTCTATCCTGGCTAAAGAGGAGCAGCCGGGCACATTTTAGGGGAGAATTAAGACTCTAAAACAGTGTCTTCTGTTCCGTGGAGATGGCTACCCAGTTGTGTTAGGCCTAAACGGGTGATTGTGGGGCCTGGCTCTGCCACTGGGGCCTGCATTTTCCAAATGGCCTGTATTTGTTGTAAGGGCCCCAAAAGAAGAAGGAGAACAAGTTTTTCGAAGCAATGGATTTGACCAACAGACGAAGGCGAGTGCCAGGCTGTGTCTAATGTACACACAGAGACACTAGCTGAGTCTGCCTGGCCAAAGGGAGCTCAGGGCCTTTTTGCAGAGCCTTCTGGTGGTTTCTGTTTCCTTGCTGAGGCTGTCCTCCCTGGGAAGCCTGGGGTCCATGCTCAGCTCCAGCTCAGTGGGTCTTCTCCAGGCCCCTCTCCCTGGCCGCTCTGCCCCCAATCGGCCCCCCACCCCAATGGGGGGCATTGCCAGCCAGCCTGGCCCGATTGGGGCGGGCCAACAGGACCCCACCTGTGTAGGAATTCATGTACCAGGCCTCTAGTTATTCATAATAGCTAACAGTGCAAACAACCCTACCAACTGATGAGTGGATAAACCAAATGTGGTATAGCCATACAATGGAACATTACTCAACAGAAAGGAATAAAGTTTTGATATATGTCACAACATGAATGACCCATAAGGAAATATGATATGCCCAAAGAGCTAGCCACAGGAGACCATATATTGTATAATTCTATTTATAGGAAATGTCTAGAATTCGTAAATCATGCTATAGAGACAGAAAGTAGATTAGTGGCTGCTTAGAGCTAAGAGAAAATGAGGAGAGACTGTTAAAGGACTTTCTGAGTGGTTTTGAACTTTCCTAATGCTGTGACCCTTTAATACGGTTCCTCATGTTGTGGTGACCCCCAACCATAAAATTATTTTCACTGCTACTTCATAACTGTAATTTTGCTACTGTTATGAATCATAATGTAAATATCTGATATGCAGGATGTATTTTCATTGTTCACGACCCACAGGTTGAGAACCGCTGGTTAGGGTGATGAAAATGTTCTAAAACTGATTGTAGTGTTGCTTGCACAACTGTGAATATACTAAAAACCATTGAATTGTATGATATTTGAGTTATATTTAATTTAGCCCAACAATCCCACCACCTTAGGTCTGATGATGGCAGAATCATGCCACCTTAATTCTCCAAGTCCATGATCCTCTGTAAGGTCTAGGAACTGATCCAATCTCAATCTCTCTCAATCTCTCTCTCTCTCTCTCTCGCTCTCTAAAAGCCTAAGCGACCATTACGACCAAACGACCAGTCAACCAGTCACTATGATGCACACTGACCATCAAGAGGCAGACACTCAACGCAGGAACTGTCCCCTGGTGGTCAGTGTGCTCCCACAGCCAACCTCCCATTGGTCCCTCCCCACAGCCCCCTGGCCGTACACCAAGCTGAGTGAGAGAGAGACATATATAGACATATGTAGGCATATATATATATATGGCATATATATATAGAGAGAGATATGTAGATATATAGAGATATAGGATGTATTTTTGTTACATTAGTATCCATTTCCCTTTCTTAGTAGAACCCTAGCTTCCTTCTGAGATATAATATCTCCCCCACCCAATATATCCATAGTCTAGCCAACCTCCTTAGCCATATGGTAGACACTGGCATTGCTGTGTTTTCCACAAATTCTCAGGCAAAATAATAGTGAAGAAAAAGACAATGTGAATGGTAGTCTCAGGTATCTAACACTTTGGCTAAGTGGCTGGAGAATTAATTGCCTATATGCTATACCAACACTGAGAATGCAAATAACAAAGTCAATTTTAAAATTTAATACAAAGGTGGGAAATAGAAGCCAGCAAGGGTCTGCTAAATGAACCAATAAATAAAACTGTTATATGGAACAATAACTCATAACATTTCTTCTGCATTTATCACATACTAGGCACTGTATTAAGCATACTAACATTCATCATCTCACTGAATTTTCACAATAGCCCTATGGTATATGCTATATCAATTTTATAGGTTAGCAAACCAGGGCTTAGGAAGATATCTCAAACAACCAACTAAAAAAGCAGTAGAGCTGGGATTCAACCTGGGCAGCCTGCTTGCAAATCTAATGTTCTTAGCCAGTTCTCTAAGCAGTTTAGACCAAGTTCGCCTGCCAACATATGTTAACCAGAATTTCAAAGCTTTCTACATGCAACTGGCTTTTTGAGGGCCTATTCCCTGCATGCACCTTGCTAAGTACCAGAGATACAAAGTTGAATGACACAGACCCTACAGAAGAGTTCTCAGAACACTTTTTTATCCGACAGATAAAATACATAACATGAACTACAGTAGGTCCTCAGGTTACATCGGAGATCTGTTCCTACGGTGCGATGGAATGGGAAATGCGATTTTCGCCGTAAGCCAGAACCCACCTACATAAGTGCCTATGTCACTCACATGGAGCACATACACAGCAGTAATGAAGTGAAACAGTAAAAAAAATTTAAAAGAAATAACAATTCCTGACCTTCACTTGTGGTAAATAATAAAAAACATAAAGTACATATGTACATATGTTGAAATGACGGAACTTTTTTTTTATATATAAATAAATGGGAGATGGCGATGTAACCACGAAATGATGTATGCCCAGTCTGTCTGTACATTACAGAAAAGTAATTTACATATTTTTAATATCCACATTCACACTGCCTATCTGATTATGTATAACCTTATCTTGACACTTTCTCTAGCCATACTAACCTTCTTTTGGTTTATCCACTAAGGCACACTTTCACCCCTAGACAATCACTAGCCTAGTGTTCTGTGCTTAAAACATGGATCAGCCGGAACCGGTTTGGCTCAGTGGATAGAGCGTTGGCCTGCGGACTGAAAGGTCCCAGGTTCGATTCCGGTCAAGGGCATGTACCTGGGTTGCGGGCACATCCCCAGTAGGAGATGTGCAGGAGGCGGCTGATCGATGTTTCTCTCATCAATGTTTCTGACTCTCTATCTCTCTCCCTTCTTCTCTGTAAAAAATCAAAATATATTAAAAAAAAAACATGGATCAATTCTTCTTCCAGGTTGTTCCATCTTCCTCAAATGGCTACATATTTGTGCAATTTCAAGTAGAAAGTAGTATTACACTAAATTATCTGTACAATTAGTTTCACAGACTGTGAAGGCAGGAACGCTCTCTGCCTTTTCACCACAACATCCTGCACCTAACACTTTCTAGGTCACTCAATGTTTGCTTAATGAAAAAGTGCTCAATGATGTCATAGGGGATTGTACTTAAAGGCTAGATGCAACACTTTTAAGTTACATAAAGAGAACAGTCGTTTATCAAATCTGCATATGCACACTGCATGATTATGTCTACATATATGCATGTACACGCATGCATACATACTGTATATTCCCTTGCTCTTTCCACTGAAAGGGCCAAGGAGCAAAGAGTGCATCTAGTGTTGAGATGTTGGCCTCTAACCCTATTCCCCACTAACTGGAACCGGGGCTGGGGGAAAAATGGCTGATTCCAAGGCTGGGGCAGGGTAGGTACAGATAAGCTTCATGATATGCCAAAAACCAAGTGTTCAAGAAAAATGGAGGGAGGAAAGGGTGAAGAGGTGGAGCATAAAGGATTTTTTTGGACAGCAAAACAACTCTGTATGATACCATAATGGTGGATATATGTCATTATACATTTGTTCAAACTCATAGAATGTACAACACCAAGAGTGAACCTTAAGGTAAACTGCAGACTTTGGATGTTTGGATGATACATGTCAATTTAAGTCATCAGTTGTAACAAATGTATCACAATGTATACTCTTGCAGAGAATACTGATAATGGGGGGGGTGCTATGCATAAGTGGGGACAGGAGTATATGGGAAATCTCTATCTTTCAGTTCAATTGCTGTGAGCTGAAAACTGCTCTAAAAATAGTCTCTCCATGGCGGGGGTAGGGGTGGGCTGGGGGGGTAGATGGGGCGAAAAGGGGACATATGCAATACTTTCAATACTAAAAACTAAAAAAAAGAAAAGAAATCTGATAAAAATAAAATTTAAAAAATAAAAATTATCTGAAAAAGAAAAGGGGGCATGTTACAAAACAACCTCGAAGGAGCTCATACTACCCCAATCTGGGAATTTGAGCACAAAAATATCATTGGGGGAAAAAAAGAATTCATGATTCCATACTGATTTTACACACACACTAGAGGCCCGATGCACGAAATTCGTGCAAGAGCTCGGCCCTCACAGCTCCAGCTACCTTGGCCCATTGCGGTCCCGCCCACTGGTCGTTCTGGCGTCCGGTCTAATTAGCATATTACCTCTTTATTATATAGGATATGCATAAGGAGGCGATAGGGAAGGCTCTTTAAAAAGCCAAAGGAGTCCTAGAGTTGGAAACTCATTATAATCCAACAAAGATAGGATCAATGGATGCTAAGACTAGGAGAAACTTTGATAAAGAGTAGGATCTCTGCATGATCTTAAAGTGATCTCTACAGATGCTTATTAACTCCAAGATAGGAAAAAAGCTGCAATCATACAGTAGAAAAATCAGAGGCCGCTTTGACAGGGTAGTCAAAATTAAATCATCAGTGAGAAATAGACAGGCATTCTGCACACCTCCAAACGTGATACCCTGAGAAGGCCACAGCATGATTTCTGCAGTATTTTGGCTAAGAATGTATTAACTTTAATCACACAGAAACATGAGACAAACCCAGAATGAGGAATGTTCTGTTTTAAAAAGGGTACTATATTTTTTAATATATCAATATCATAAAAAACTAAAACAGACTAGGGAAATGCTGAAAGGTTAGAGAGATACAACTATATGCAATACTCAATCCTAGGATGGATTCTATACCAAGGAGGAAAAAAAATGCTAAAAAGGAAATTTTCGGGTTAATTAAAAATTAGAATCCAAATGATGAGATAGAAATATTGTATTAATGCTGACTTGACTGCAGATAACTATATTGTGGTTATACTAGAGGCCCAGTGCATGGCCGGGGGCTGGGGGGAGCTTGGTTGTGGGAATGCACTGACCACCAGGGGGCAGCTCCTGCATTGAATATCTGCCTCTGGGTGGTCAATGAGAGTCATAGTGATTGGTTGACTGGTCGTTTGGTTGTAATGGTCGCTTAGGCTTTTATATATATAGACATAACATAGTATCTCTATTCTTAGGAAACACTGAAATATTTAGAGGTGATGGCCATGATTTTGTAACTTACTCTTAAAAGGTTTGGGGGGAAGCCGAAACTGGTTTGGCTCAGTGGATAGAGCGTCGGCCTGCAGACTGAGGGGTCCCAGGTTCGATTCCAGTCAAGGGCATATACCTCAGTTGCGGGCACATCCCCAGTGGGAGATGTGCAGGAGGCAGCTGATCGATGTTTCTCTCTCATCGATGTTTCTAACTCTCTATCTCTCTCCCTTCCTCTCTGTAAAAAATCAATAAAATAAAATAAAAAAATTTAAAAAAAAAAGGTTTTGGGGGAAAAAAGGCTTGGAAAACGAGTGCATATATGTGTGGGTGTGTACACACAAGAGAAATATTCATTTTATCATCCCCATAGATAATTATGTAATTCTTCACTCATAACATTATACACGTTATAAAAAGGAGAAACATACCTGAATAGGAGATGGCTTTTCCCAGCCCATTTCAAAAATTCCCATCAGTAACTCCCGCTTTAAACAGTAATCTTCAAACTCATTTCCTTTTGTGGAGGTTACATCCTAGTCAACCAAACAAAACAATAATAAAAGAATAAAGCACAACTGTGTTCGTTAGCATGCTTAAGAAAATTTGTCTGAGAAACTAGTTCTTTATCTCTCCCATTTAAGATATAAATATATGCAGATTAGCTCTGTCCTGATCTGTATTTCAACTATTCCTGAAGAATAATCACTCTCTAACAGACACAAGTCATTTAAAAACTGTGTTTGGAGGAAAGGCCACTTTGTGGTCATATTCTTCTAAGGAACAGGTGGAATACTGTAAGAATCATGCTGTGAAATTAAAATCAAATATGAAATCAAACCCTAGCTTACCACTCATCGCCCACAAATAGCCTAGTCAAAATCAGGGCTTCTCAAGCTCAGCAATGTTGACTTTTGGGCCAGAAAATTCACTGCTGTAAGGGGCTGTCTTCTAGAAATGTTTGTAGCTATTGCTAAATATCCCTTGGTTGAAAATACTGGGCTAAAAGAACTAACCATTTGCAACTTCCATTTTCTCATCCATAAAATGGAGATAACACCTGGCCTCAATCTTACTGAAAAAAGAGAATATGCCTTGAAAACTATCCTATATAATAAAAGCATAATATGCAAATTGTCCCCTCGACTGGGAGTATGACTGCATGCTATGACATGCACTGACCACCAGGGGGTGGTGTGGAACATGGCAGGCATGACGACACGACAATGCTGGCAGTGGGCAGCAGTGGAGGCGCTGCCAGCCCTGATGGGCCCCAGACAAGAGCAGGACCGTGGCGGGATGGTGGAGATTAGCGGGTGGCACCAGGCAGGGGTGAGTGGGCCCCAATTGCCCCACAGACAGTGACCAGCAGTGGTGGGGGGGCCCGATGACTTAGGGGAAGGGGGCATACAGGAGCCTGGGTGCTGCCCAAGGCCCAGAGGTCAGCTGGGACCTGCCCTTCCATGCCAGATGCTTGCGTTTCGATCACCGGCCAGGCCTAGGGACTGCACCCATGCACAAATTTCATGCACTGGGCCTCTAGTTATTCCATAAATTAGAAAAGTATACATACATATAAATATTAATATGTAGATACACATTTTAATATAATTCCTCCAAATAGTAAAAATTCTTGGCAATTCATCACATTGTCTACATCAGTGATGGCGAACCTATGACACGCATGTCAGAGGTGACACACGAACTCATTTTTTTGGTTGATTTTCTTTTTGTTAAATGGCATTTAAATATATAAAATAAATATCAAAAATATAAATCTTTGTTTTACTATGGTTGCAAATATCAAAAAATTTCTATATGTGACACGGCACCAGAGTTAAGTTAGGATTTTTCAAAATGCTGACACGCCAAGCTCAAAAGGTTCGCCATCACTGGTCTACACAATTTCAACCATTTCAACTTAAGAGTGAACACATAGTACCCATTATTATTAACTAACTAGAGGCCTGGTGATGAATTCGTGCACGGGTGGGGTCTGGCCCCATTGGGCCAGGGGAGGGGACGCAGGAGGTTGGCCAGCTGGCCTGTCCCCTGGTCAAACTCCCAGTCGAGGGGACAATTTGCATATTCGCCTTTTATTATATAGAAATTACTTCACTTTTAGAGTTTCCACACCATCTTAAGTTAAATTTTACAACCAACTTACCGAAGTTTTGATTCTTAGATCTTTTGGAGGGAGTTTTAAAGTCTTTTTCCAGTCATCACCAGGTCTAGAGAGAATGTAGTAAAATTGAAGTATCAGATTTCATAGCATCATATTCTAATACAAAGATAATTCATCTCAATTATAATTAAGTTACAAAAAGCACAGTAAGTTTAATATATTGCCATTTACTTAAGAATATAGTTAACAGCCCTGGCCCGTGTGGCCCAACTGGTTGGAGAGCATCATCTCACACACCAAAAGATGGTGGGTTCAATTTCTGGTTGGGTGCCTGTGGGAGGCAACAGATCAATGTCTCTCTTGCATCAATATTTCTCCCCTACCGCCCCCTCTAGAATCAATAAAAAAAAAATCTAATATATATATAAAGAATATAGCTAACAGAGATAAACATATGTATGTGTTTTAAGCTAGTTACCAATATTAAAAATTAGAAGATTTTGAGTAAAAGTCCAGATTCTGGCTTTTCCTGTAAACTGGAAGCTTTAGCAACACTGGTTCCAAATTTCTGCACGGCGATCGTTCGACAGAGCTTGGTAACTGAGTTTAAAATCAAGCAGCTGACCCTTTAAAGAAGGCAAGTATCTTCTCATCTGGCACAGGCATCTGAGTTGGTAACTTCTGGATACTAGTTAAAACCAAGGACTCCAGCCCAGTTGGCATGGCTCAGTGGTTGAGCATCCACCTATGAACCAGGAGGTCATGGTTTGATTCCCTGTCAGGGCACATGCCTTGGTGTGGGCTCAATTCCTAGCGTGGGTCGTGCAGGAGGCAGCCGATCAATGATTTTCTCTCACCATTGATGTTTCTTTCTCTCTCTCCCTCTTCCTCTCTGAATTAAAACAAAATACACACAAAAAAACCACACCAGACTCCAAAGTTTCATCCCTGACCCTACCACTTATTTTTTGACCGTGCAGCAGTTACTTTTCCAAGTTTCCATTGTCATATATACAACGGGTTAAGAATTATATCAGGCCCTGACCAGTTTCGCTCACTGGATAGAGCGTCGGCCTGTGGACTGAAGGATCCCAGGTTTGATTCCGGTCAAGGGCATGTGCCTGGGTTGTGGGCTCCATCCCCAGTGGGGGCTTGCACGAGGCAGCCGATCAATGATTCTCTCTCATCATTGATGTTTCTATCTCTCTCTCCCTCTTCCTTCCTCTCTGAAATCAGTAAAAACACATTTTTTTAAAAAAAGAATTAGATAATTTACATAAAGCAATCAGCACAGTGTTGGGCTCGGTCCCCGGTGGGGGAGGCCTGCGGGGGGACGGCCAATTGGTGATTCTCTCTGACACTCATGTTTCTGTCTCTCCTTCCTCTGAAATCAATAAAAATATAAAAACAAACAAAAAACTCCTTTAAAAAAAAAGAAAAAAAGGAACTCAATATTATCTGTTAATGAACATCTCTCTTAATCTTTTTTTACCAGGTATGCTTTAAACCAGTGGTTGCCAACCTTTCAGACCTCACGGACCACCAGTTGGTGACTGCTGCTTTAAAGTATGAAAACAGTTAAAACACAAGGAAAATATAATTTTTTAAATCTCTTTTAGGTCAGGCAAAAACCTCTACTATAATATCCAAAGCATCTAATAGAAAAAAAAAAATTGGCAATAAGACAAACAGTGCTTTTCAACAGCATTGTCTTTAAAATAAATAAGTTTTGCCCTGGCTGGTTTCGCTTAGTGGATAGAATGTCAGACTGCGGACTGAAGGTTCCTGGGTTCGATTCTGGTCAAGGGCACATGCCTGGGTTGCGGGCTTGATCCCCAGTAGAGGGTGTCCAAGAGGCAGCCAATCAATGAGTCTCTGTCGTCATTGATGTTTCTATCTCTCTCTCCCTTCCTCTCTGAAATAAATAAAAAAATATATTTTTTAAAAATAAGTTTTGCACCGAGACCAGTTTGGCTCAGTGGATAGAGCGTCGGCCTGTGGACTGAAAGGTCCCAGGTTCGATTCCGGCCAAGGGCATGTACCTGGGTTGCGGGCACACCCCCAGTGGGAGATGTGCAGGAGGCAGCTGGTCGATGTTTCTCTCTCATCGATGTTTCTGACTCTCTATCTCTCTCCCTTCTGCTCTGTAAAAAATCAATAAAATATATTTAAAAAAAAAAAGTTTTGCCCTGGCGGTGTGTTCAGTGGTCAGAGCTTCACTCCAGGGGTCACTTGTTTGATTTCTGGTCAAGGGCACATACTGGATTAGGGGTTCACTCGCCATCTCTGGTGGGGGTGTGTGCTGGAGGCAACCAATCGACTGATGTTTCTCTTTCTCTCTCCCTCTCTCCCTCCCTCCTTTCTACTCTCTAACAGCCATGGGGGGAAAACATATGTAATAATACGTTTTCATTATAGCCACTCATAATCAGAGCCTCCAAAACATTTCGAGTCTTGATTTAGAAAGATGAACCCTTATTTTACTTAAAGCTAGGCCCCACATAATCAAACACACTCTAACAAAGGCAACTATTTGCTACCACTTCCAAGGGTATGAAAGCCTTCTACCTCAACCTATCCCACAGCAGTTTCTAAGCAAAAATTGTCACCTGAACATCCTAGTAGGCCAGCCTACCACACTGTCAAATTCAACAGTGAATAAAAGCAGAGAGGATACGATGCAAAATCTGTCCACAAGGCATTTAAACCAAACTACTTAAAATAAGAAAATAGTGATAGCGCTAAGTATTAGAAGAGTTCTGAACAGCTGATGGGATCTAGAAGCCTTCATGAAAGAGATGACACTTGAACTATGATTTAAAGAAGCCAAAGAATTGAAAAGAAACCATTAACCCTAGGAAAAGCAAAAGTAAAGTCCACTGTTGTCACAAATTAGAATTTAAGTAGAAAACACTCCCATAATAAAATAACATAGATTTATGTTTCTGTTTTTAAGGAATAAAAATAGCCTAAATTTCGCTAGCCTATTCATAGTTTATCAAGACAAACTACAATTCAGAAAATATTCTAATTAAAGCATTCACCTTAAAAATAATAGAATATGCATTAATGACAATTCTCCCAGTGACCAAATCAATTCTATTAGAAATTCTTATAGGTCACTAGTGAACCACATAGCAGTGACCATCTATATGATATGCTGGTATCTTATAGAAGCTATTTTTCTTTAGGAAGTGAGTCTTAAGCATGAAAGGATCTGGATTATAACACAAAATACTTTAGTTCAGTGAACCTGTTTCATCATCTTATAAGATTAATAGAAGTTAAATCAACTATATGGCTAGATTCTTAACAAAGCCAAACCTCAAATGGGTCAAGTTTAAATGTTAATTTTCTATTAACTGAATCTTTAGAGCGATATTTACCATTCAAATAATGTATAGTGAACACTTAAAAAATGGCAGCCTACAATCTTCCAGATTTGAAAGAAAACACATTCTGTAGTCAGATGAGGCTCTTAAGTTTTTAGTCAACTAGGGGAATTGGGGCTATTCAGAGATGTGTTTCCCAGAGTTCAAAATCCTGAGATTCTATGATATTTGACTGCGTGTTAATTTGTGTGTGTGTGTGTAACAGGAGAAAGCTTATAAAACAAAAAATTTTAAGCAAAGCTGCATGAACTGAAAAAAAAAGTTATGGATAAATTTTTATGAGTACATTTGGAAGTAAGGAGGCTGGGCAAGTCCTTAAATTTGAAACTTGAAATTGACTTTAAATGTCATTTAAACTAGGATATGGTGCAGTTATACTATGGAAAATAATACTGACAAAAACAAGATGAATCTGAGCTAATTATGAAAACCATCAATGTTTAAAATAGAACCTATACAAAATTAATATATATCATCAGTACCTATATTCATTATTTAATAAACCTCAATTAGTTATAACAGAAATACATTATTCTATTGCAAATACCTACTGGCCATAAAACAAAGTCATCTGTCCTCTGCAATCAAAATGGCTAAAGTATACATAGAGTAGTCCTTAACAAAGTAATAGAAAGAAATCTCCTTGGTCCCCCCACGTACGTTTATTTGTTCCCACACTTACTTAATAGTGGTGGTCATACTCTGTGCTTGCTGCTGAGTGCCATTATTGATTGTGTTGGTGTTTTTCAGTTGGTTCATCTGTTGCTGTGTTGGTGTGCCCCCTCCTCCGGGGCCACCACTGGGCTTCACAGGGCCCCTCAGCTGACCATTTTGACTGGATAGACCCATTATAACAGGGTTCTCTGTTCTGGCCGTGCTCATGCTGTATTAAATGTACAGATGTCTCTTCCAAACTTCAAAACTTTTGAAAGTCAGTAGAGAAACTGTAATACAGTTTATTAGGCTCTCCAAAATGAAGAGATAAATATAAGTCTTGCTCAATATTGAGTCCTTTATTGCAATGCAGGCAAGCACCTGTAAGTCTCTGAATAGTAAGCAGCAGTAACTTGCTCTCATGCACCGAATCAACTTTTTATATTTTTAAAGGCTCTCTAACGAGGTTTGGTTATATATCTGAATTCACTCACTTCAATCTGAAACAAAGAAAAAGTTACGTTAGCAAACACAGGAAGGTTATAAAAAACTGTTTCCCCTAACACTTTTTTAAAAATTAAGAATACAACTGCACTTAGATCACATCATTAGCCAGGCTAATAGAGACACAAAAAGATGAACTGCACACAAAACCAAACCCACAATGAAATCAATCTCAAACATTTTAAATGGTCAGTTCAAAGCAACCCAAAGAATATTAGTATAAAGATACTGTAATTAAATTAGCAATAGTTCGCAAATGACAATCTCTTCCCTTCAGTTTCCTCCCTGAATGTTCTAAAAGTCAATGATTCATTCCACTTAATTGCATCACAACTCCAATCAGTATCTCACAACTTAGAGTAAATCTACGTATGTACAAGGCAAGACAAATTTCTTCTATTTCTGACAGCAACTGAGAATCCTCCAAGAGCTTTATAAGCTTTTGACTTAACTTTATGCTTTTAGAAATATAAAACCCATTTGTAACCTTATGAATTTCAAGTGTAGAAATTAAACTTTGTGAAGAAAAATGCATTTTCCTTAAGTTCTTATCCTTTAAAACAGTAGCTGAAGCTGGAATATAGACATGTCTACATGTCAAAATCTCTTGCTTGAAAACAGCCAAGAATTTGAATACTAAAAAACTGTTAGCCGGGCTGGTGTGGCTCAGTTGTTGAGCGGGGCATCAGAACCAGAAGGTCATGATTCAATCAATTCCAGTCCCAGGCACATGTTAGCGTTGGGGGCTGATTCCCCAGGAGCAGCCTTTTGATTTTCATTATTGATGTTTCTCTCCCTCTCCCTTCCTTTCTGAAATCTATAAAAAATATATAAAGTGGTTAACTTCCTCCATTTTTAATTATTCCCCAAACCGAATGCATATTTTAAAATGGAGTGAATAAAAACTACAAAGGCCAGACAGAAAGTAAATGCCTACTCTGTTGGGTTTGTTCCTTTTTACCTCCTTTACATTCCTTACCCAAAATACACAAGCTTATTAATTAGTGTTGTTTTTGTCATATACCACGGCTTCTCAAACAACATTTTTCTAAAATACTTATGCCTTAAAAAAAGAAAGAAAAGTTGCAAATCCTGATGATCACAAACACAAAGAGGTATTATTTCAAAGTCTCCCAGCATCTGATTGACTACTTAGGCAGATGGTGGTTAACAGTTACCTAGTTTCTGTTCCGGGCAGTGAATGGTCTCCTACATTGACAGGTTGCTATTATGATCAACAATATCAGTAGTTCGCACAGAAAACGTGTCTGCGAAGTACTAAGAGGATGAAGAGGGCAACCTCCAAAGATTAAGTGTGATCATTACCACCCATCATGGATGTGAAAGATTTCAGATCCAAGTGTGCGAACTGCGTCCCCTTAATTAAAACTGAAACTTGCACTGAGCACCGTCTCAGAAACGGAAATGTTCCTCCTACCCCTTCCCAGCTTCGATTTGCAACATTTTCAAAAGTTCGAAGGAAACGTGGACTGGCCGGGAGGAGCCCACGCCGAGCTAATTACAGCACTTCCCGGCTGTGGCTGGCAATTGACAGTTTTCTCCCCAAACAGGCCCGTCGTCCCCGAGGCAGGCTCCCCGAGGCGGCCTGCGAGCCGCACCGACGGGTTTCACCGTGAAGAGGGGAAAGGGGGGTCAGCAAGCAGGAAGGAAAGACACGAGCCAAGGATGTGAGCCCCGTCTTTGTAAGAGAATAATTCAATTATTTCTTGCTCTCCCCGTCTCCCTCCGGAACACCCACAGCCCAAGTCAGCGCCCTGTGATCATAAACACAAAAGGTTGGGGCCCCGCAATCCTATCTGCGCAACAAGCGCAGGGACCGAACCAGCTCCGTGGGTAGGAAACAATATGGAGTTTCCTGAGGCCCCAAAGAGAAACCTTAGCCCAAAGCCCCGCTTCCTCCACGACTCGGGGGCGCCAGCAGCCCCCTCTCGCTACGACCCACAA